AGAAAAGAACTCAAACTGGGTATGCATGTTACATGCTGAAGGAAACATTGATACCAGAGCATCCTACGAACAGGCAAGACCTCAGTGTGACTGCACCAGAGCATCTGACATAATACAAAGAGTCTATTGAGCTCTGTGAGTCACAGGCTTAATGCAGTTATTGCCTCAAAGAGATGATCAACCAAATACTGACATTTACACCGTGAAAATTATAGTGAATGTGTCAAGTACTTATGGTCCCGTGAAATCACCGAGTTGAACACAAAGTATGTTATTGTTCTAATATGATCCAATGTATGCATTGCCAAAAATAAAACATGCTGTATTCATCATTTTCTAATGTAATTTAATCATTTAATCTTCATGATCAAAAACACAATATTGGTTGACTGTAAAACAGTAGTAAGAGTTTTAACTTTGCTTCCCCAAATAATTTGGAAGCACTTGTATTTAGATTATCTTTAAGAAATTTAACTTGTTGTTCTCGAACTGTGCTCTCAGTTTTGTAGCCATCTTTCAGAAATGGGTTCTTTTATTGAAGAAAGCTTTTAAAATAAATATGCTTGATTAGCTCACTGGAAACCTGCTTTATTTACCTAAATTCTACAAAAGAAAAACTATTGTGAAAGATTTAATGTGCTAGTCCCCTTTCATAGTACTTACAAAAATATTTTTGCAGAAAAAAAACATTGTCCAGGATGTCTCTCCACATTCATTTTTTAAGTACAGCCACCACTGTACTTAAAATTAGGTAGTGGAGGCAGAGATGGTGATGGAGATTTTGAAAAATAAAACATTGGAAATAGAAAGGTAAAATGGAAAGCAATTACCTCAAACAGGAGAGAGAAATGTTCCTAAAGCTGTCAGTGGGGGTGACATTACCTTCCATATTCAAGTTGATGTGATCGCTTTTCTGAAAAAAAAAATATTTTCTGTATAACAATTCTCATTTTTGTATCCCAATAAATGTAATTTTTGAAACATTTCAGTGGAATAGTAGCCATGGGCAAAAACGATGTTTACTGCACCATAGGTCTTGAAATTAAGTACTTGCCAGCTTGAAGAACAATGGTCTGATGTCTTCCTCTACTCTGTCATCATTCATATTATGGTGATTACAGTAAGATAAGTTCTTCAGAGGAGACATTTCAAGGTAGAAATTCAAGCTTTTATCAACTCCTTTTACCCTCTTGTCGCCAATTTGGTCTAATGCACAAAGCAGTGCTTGGCATGTAATTTTGGACAAAGGAAATGTCACCCATTGGTGGCTGTTTAACACCTGCTGACCTCTCTTCTTCAGTTTTGACAACATTTGCTGAGTTTCAGTATAAGATGTCCTTATTAAGCTGAACCTCCATTGATCCCATCCCATCCCACTAAAACATTGTAAAAGTGCATCTTCCTGTAGGACTCCTATGGCTTTATTCATAACCTTGATTACTATTATTTAATTAATAAAATGTCCTAAGTAATTGTTCCAGAATGTAAACAGTTTGTGTGCTTTTTTATTTTTATTGGGTATAGAAGTATGAGGGATTGGCCTCTATTTCCATTAGAATTAGTAAAGAGTATTTCCATATCTTAATTTGCGGTTGTTGAAGTTGATGTTTTTCATAAGTCATAATTACATCATATAATTACATCATCTAATTATGATGAAACTGAAACTCTATACATATTCATACAGCTTTTAGTAAAGTTGGACAGGTGTAGTTTAACATTTGTTCTTGTTGTCAGTGTCACAATTTTAATTTTGTAGTATGTGCTGCTAAAAAGAAGAGGGTTTATTTTTGTATCCGTAGCTTACAGTTAAAATCCATTTGGAGTGGATTCAGTCAGCCAATTTAGTTAAATGCCAATGTTATTTGGAAGTCTGAAATGACCCCAGTTCTCAGTGGCAAATATATGGAAAGAATCCAAGAGCTTGCTGTCAAATTAATTCTAGGCCCTTGATATGCAGATTATGATAATGCATTTATACCACTTTTGCTAGATTCATTGGCAACCAGAATTTTTATTTCGTTTTTGCATTTTTAATTTAAAAGATACATGCAAGTATAAAGGCAAGAAGGCAGAAGGCAAGTAGCCTTCAGGTTATGTAGTCTGTGTATTATTCTGGTGCCCTCTGACTCTTCTGTGTTGTACATGCCTTGTAAATAAACGCGTTCCTTCGTTCTTGTCTTTTTAATCATCTTCCACTCCAATCAATTTTTGTTTGAGTGACTATACAGTTTTGTCAATCTGATTAAAACAATTAATCCAATGGATTTCATGTACATAACAGATAATAAGACTTGAAAAGTGCAACCATTAAACCAATGTGTTAGTAACAGATTTTAACATTACCAGCTTGCAGTACAGGCCACATAGTGACAGTAGGTAAATATTGCACTTAGTGGGTCATCTTCATTTACCTGGATATCTCCTTTTGCCTACAGTCAGTATATTGCCGTTAGAATGTTACCTGCTAACTTTAGAGTTATTCAGCCAAACACTTGTTATATTGAACTTGTTTGTGTTAGCACAAGCACACGATGACCTAGCACAAAAAGAATAGCTGCATCCTGTGAGGTGCTAGTCTGAAGGAGGTTTAGGTGTTGATGAAATCAGCCAAGTCAATTCACTTGGCCCAGCTGTTCCCAAGACAGAAACAGTCTGAATCTTCAGCAATAAAGAAGAAAAAAGGGTCATTCAGATGTTTCTGTTTAAGCAAACAAATTGATTGGCAAAGTGTTTTTTGCTTAAGAGTAATTTGTAATGCATTAGGATAAAAGAGTGCAGTGTTGGTCAGGCATTATGCAAAAAGTCTATTTTGTCTTATTGTAACTACATTGTCATTCCTACCAAGTCTGAACTTAATAGGCAAAAATTACTTCGTGCCACCTCTGGCACCTATGGTTAAATATGCAATAGATCATCTCCTGTGTTTTACACCTAAATAACAAATGTTTGCAAACAGCTAAACATCATATTCAAAGGCTTGCCCATCCCCATCTACAGCACTTCAGTCTACCTCAAAGTGAAGCTTGACCGCCTCTACAGTTTCCACTGATGTATAGTATCCATAGCTGTCTCCCAGAGTCAACTTGCTACCAATATTTTGTGTGTTGGGTTCAGAGTTCACAACCCTTCACTCCTCCACATTCAAACTTTTATCTTCCTGTGCAGCACAATGTGCATCCACCTGAGGTAGAAATGCCCACTCATAAACAAAGGATGATATACTGTACATAATTCAGCTCTGCCAAATTCATCTACGACTGTCTAAAACCCACACTTACACACAACATTCCTATCCTCACTGACATCCCATCACTACAGGCGTGAAGCTGCCACCAGACAATCCACATTCAAGGTGGTCACACAGAAAACATATCCACTGCATCACAACCTCCCGGAATCCCTACAGTCATCATATAACAGTTCAACAACAAATGGACAAAAGCCCAACCAGCCAGAAGACTGCAGCTAATGGTGCCAAGCTCAATCCCCCTCATTACATGTGCTGAGCCATCTAAGGAGTGATGTTGGCTGAATTGCCAAAGAACTGGTGTTCGGAGTCTGAGAGCCGGCATGTACTCCTGGAACCTTGCCAATGCAGGAGAGCTGCAGACAGCACTCCATCTTGTAGAAGACTACTCCATTCACCACTTTGAGAGCAGTTTAAACACAATCATACACCTCACCCCTCAGGCCAAGGAATGGTTTGCCAGTTGAACTACATCGGAAATTAAACCAGATTTGTTTTTAGAAGGGCAGTTAGTTGAGTGGCGTGCATTGTGCCTAACGGGTGATAACCCTCTGTGGGAGTAGAATGTGAACTAAAGGTAAGTCTGAAACAGGCTTTTTGTATTTTGTAGGCTTTTTTAAACCTGCAAACCTTTCAATCATTTGTTGAATGGTGTGAACAAAATTGTGGTGTTAATTGGCCAAACAGTGCTTGAACAGAAGCAGTTCACGTATTTGACAGCATTTCTTGAAGCAGTTGATCTGATGGGGGTGGGGAAATTATTGCAATGTGTATTTGAATTGTGAGAACAAAACTGAGATCATGCAGCCATCTTGGTATACAGAGGAACAGCAGATGTTAATTATGTTTGCTAGAATGATACCACATATGTAGTTAATTGGTCAAATGAACTTTTATACCAGAAGAGTTATAACTGTAGATTGACAGCAAAGAAAACTGGGCATCCATTTTGGAGTTCACAAGAAGACTATTTTCACATATCCTGTTGATATGATAGTATGCACACTGAGCGTCAAAGAAATATTATAACCCTATCTAGGCTCACATATTTTTAGAAATATATGTATTTTGCATATGTATTGATTGCATGTTTTCTGTATTTGATTAGTTAATTATTCTTGACAGACTGTGATACACACAAGTGACTTTGACTGTTGTGAAATTACTAAATTACCTAATTAGTGAGAGAGTTGATTCTGTAGGGCACAGGCTATGAGGTGATTGAACCTAATGAAATCTGACTGGTGTCAAGTGAAACAGTTTAAATGCTTTATCTGTAGCAGTATACTGTACTTAGCTTGTATAAGGTTGTTTGGCTGCTCAGTTCTTAAAAATCACCAGTTTTGTACGTCTGGGGAAAAAAATCCTCACAATCATTATGGGTTTCTAATCTTTGGAAGGCTAATTAAAGGTTTATGAGGCAAATAGGGTAGTGTTTGATGCCAATTTGTCATGCAAGTCATACTTTACCTCAAATAACACTATCTCAGAACGAATGTTTCGTGCTAATATTGCAAGGAGCCTTCAGCTGGTGGCAGTTTCCTTAATTAAGTATGTCATTGGAAAGTTCTCTTAATATTGTTCAACAATTTTGTTTCAATTTTTCAGTGTACTAAAAAAACTTTGTTTAAAAAAGAAGCTTTGATGTATACTTTTGTTTCACATGTTTTTGCAAAGTCATTTATGAATTTGATCCTGTCATCGGTGATGCACTGTTTGTGCCTGATTGTGTTGTTTTTGTTGGTTTCAGAACAAAATGTTCATTTACCGTGGAAAGGAGTATGAGCGAAGGGAAGACTTTGAGGCAAGACTGTTAACCCAGTTCCCTAACGCAGACAAAATGAAGACGACAACTCCACCAAACGAAGACATTAAAAATTCCCCCGGACAGTGTATCCTTGAGAATCTGCTATATGCCAAGCTTTAGTGGTGTCTAAATTCAGACAGAGGAAGGCATGAGTGGAAACACAGCAAAGGTGGTATCAAACTGCTTCTCATGTTTCTTACACAGTTGTCCACATTCATGCTAACCTCTTATGCTAATCGTGAGTGAGTGTTCAAGCATGCATTTCAGCAAGCATATTTGTAGAATTTACAGACAAATTGTTGGATTAAAATACATCATGGTGTTACTGTTATGCTTACATTTCTTTTATAAGATGTGGTCAATTTTTTACAGTGAAGTTTGTGTAGAATGTTGGACATGTTTCATTTCAGAACCTGCATAATCACAATTTCCCAGTTTTATTATTTTTCATGTATTGTATGGAATTTGTTTACCCTTTTATATTATATACCTTTTTATATAAGTCCTGCTTTAAAAATTTTGGAGCAAGTCCACTTTATTATATGGAATATCTTTTCTGGTGGTTTAAGATGAAAAACGTTTGTTGGATTAATATGTATGAAGCTTTTTCAAAAAGACAATATTTCCGTAGAAAATATATGCATTCCAGCCAGACATTTTAGGAAAAGAAGTATTAATAAATTTGATATCTCTATAAAACCACTTAGTGTTCCTTCCTAGGTTAATTCTAATCTTGCAAATGAACTTGCAAATTACTTTTTTATTTTTAGTGCCTGTTGTCTTTCTTGAGGAAAGAGCTGTTGTTTTTCTCAATGTTTACCTTAACATTGTTGAATAGACATCCAGTGTTTCACAGTCAAGCCAATATTGGAGCTTCCCCCTAAGTTTCAGAACAAACCAGTATCAGAGCAAATCCTGAGGTATGTAACTGTTTTCAAATTTGAGATGCCTGTACTGAGGAAATCCATCATCATTATGAAATTATATCAACAAAATAACATATGACATTATGTTGATGCCATTTTTTTTACTCAAACATCTTTTCAACAATTTCTGATTCAAATTACTTTCTAACTGCTGTACTATTAACCATTATCTCCTCCTGTTGATATATTTAGAAAGATATTTCTTTCGGTACAAGACTTCATAACAAATAATGAATGTCATGAGCATTCAAAGAGTGGATTTTTGCAGTTGCAAAATCAAAGGCCTTATTTTGTTTGGTTGCCGTAGCCACAGGTGTCCCAGACCCCCTAACCCCTGTGCTTATTACAATCTTGGCAGAAAAATGTGACTGAGATAAAACTCTCAACTCTGCACCCATTCGGATTATTGCTTGCACAATGCTAGCAAATAGCAAGACTCCTATATGAGTAATTCTGTCCTTGCCAGCTGTGTAAATCAAGTCTGGATTTCAAAGATGGTATCTTAAGCAAAGTGTTATATAAATCATGCGTGATATTTGCTTAAAGATTAAAGTAGCTTAACAAAAGCATTTCTGCACCAGTATCCTGAAACAAGAAAAACCTGCTGTGAGTGGTAGAATTGTAATCAGAGTACACTTGCTTTGTAGTATATTTGTTATGGTTATTTGATTTTATAATATGGTTAATATCTAAGATCTTTTGTAAAAAAATATGTAAATAGATTGAAAACAATGTACTGAGTTTTGTGTTCACATAAGATGAGTATGTAAAACAAGTATCTTGGTATCTTGTGAACTACTTTGTGAAATCATTATCTCTTCAAGCTTCAGTAATGGACCATCTTTAGTGGAAATGCTTATGATTGTGAATGTGACACAAAGTAAAAAAAAACAATCAAGCATTAAGTATGTATTTTTCCGTGCATACTTACAAATTACTGGAAGTGTATTTAATGTGTCATTTCAATTGTATTATAACTGCAGATGCTTTTTTGCTAATGGGATATTTGCATAGCTGTATAAACATTAAAAGCAAGTGTATTATTTCTTACATTGGATCATTCTAAAAATATTTCAGTTGCAAAATATTTTTTTTTAATCTGTTTCTTATCCAATGAAGTCTTGCAGTTCATGCATTCACACCCTCCCAGGTATGCCATCTGAACTGAGAATGGAGAACATCACAATCACAGGGAGGCACCACAAGGATCATTTTCCAAGTGTGAAAGTCTATTAACCTTGTGTTACAGGTTCACACTAGCCAGTAATTTCCTTTTGCCACAAACACTATGGCTTACACTGCATCTGGTACTGTGAAATATACTGATGAGAATAAAAATGAATTCTTTTCCAATCACTAAAATGTCTTTAAAATCTTTTTAATGCTTTTTTCTGCGTGCATTTTATTGAATTAAATTTTTGAATTCTTCAGTTTTCAGCTACATGAATTTGCACTGTACTGCTTATCTTAAAAATAAAGTTAGATAATATGAAATTATCTAAAATTAAGAGGTTAGGAAACCTGCTTTTGCTGGATATAGATCCTTTATTTGCCTTAAGGAATCTAATCAAACTGTTTAACCAAGCTTAAAAGTGCATGATTGCAGATTATATACTTCAGCAATGTTTGTATTGCATCTAATTTTTTTTCCAGTTTCTACACTGTAAATGAAGTCCATAAATTCCAGTATTCCAGACCAGTGAGAAAGGGAGAGAAGGATCCAGACAATGAATTTGCTGTAATTACAATTTACTTTTTTTTCATTTTAAGCATGTGATGATGTTTGGGACAATGTAGCTCTCTGAAAAACCCTGTTTGGGTTTATTTCAGTTTTAGCAGCTTTTCCAAGGTATAAAAGCCATGTTTTGGAGCAGTTCAGTATTCATGCTTAGCCAATGTGTGTTCTTTATTACAAATCTGTCAACAGAGCTTTCACCTTGTGCTGGCTGGGTTATAAGGTTGAGTGATTTCTAGATGAAATCAATGAAACACATTTCCTAGTTTCACTCTGGAAATTAAGATTATTCTTAGCCAAACCAATGTTTAAAAAACAGATTTGATTTTTTAAAAATTGTAGTCCGCTTTTTGCCAAGAATACTAGGTAGCATTAGGGTAAAAGCCTTGCATGTTTCACTGTTGATAAGACAGACGTCTGCCAGAGATGCAATGAATTTTCCATTCAGTGGTACAACCATTTGTTTGCTTTTTTAATTTAAAGTATATTAATCAGTCTATTTACATTGAGATTTGCTATAAACAATAGGAAGACAAGAAAGTCTTTTTCAACAAGTGAAGATTAAGAGAGCAACTGGTAACTTGCACAAGGCTAATAATACAGCTGCACGTATGATAAAAGAATACACATAAAAGCATTTAATAAACATAATTTTTACTTAAACTTCATGTATAGACACTTTGTCAGTTTTCAAATCCTAAATGGCATGTTCAAACATTTTTACTTTGGAATTTTACTGTTAACTTTCAGCTCAAACTGTCTTGTTCGGATCTGTTCCAAGTAACAATGTGGCTATCATTTCAAAAGTGGTGTAAAGGATTATGCAATGTTATGTCATGTTGTACAGTATAGTGTTTAAATTGAAGTAAAGTGTTACCAAATACATTTTAATTCTGTTGATCTCTGAATCTTCAGTTCTGTAAATTTAGGAATGCTCTAATTGTATTTTGAAAAGATATTCATTTTAAACACAAAAACTAGTTTTTAAATTCTCTCATTCCCTTGGAATGGCACTGAAAGGGTCACTTAAATTCCTTATTTTTATCATTAATGGTGTATAATGGTGTTTGAAGTAGAATCTTTCCTGATATTTTGCAGTGAGTCTTCTTTGTCTTAAAATGGTAGAACTTAAACGAGCTGTAATGTTCAGATAGTTTCTTATATAATCTCCTCAATCCTGAGTATTTAAAAAAACTACTCCGAAAACAGTTTAATCAAATATCTACCATGACATCTAAGGTCCTTTTTTTCTAACAGACATTGTAATATTTCTTCAGAATATATTACAAACATCACAATCGGTATGTCATGCATCTAAAACATCAAAAATATTTAATGAAGAATTCTCTGCATTTAACTAATTTAGTTATTTACTGTATTGTATTTAAGTTTATAGAAAAGGTGTCCCTTTAATAAGCTTGTCTTCTGTATTTCAGAATATGTGGATTGAAAGAACCACTTATGTAACTGCATACAAGCTTCCAGGAATTCTGAGATGGTTTGAAGTCAGATCTGTCTCAATGGTAAGTATGATGTATGATAACACCAGTCAAGCATCATACTCAGATAGCTATCTCAGGCTTACCTAAGAAAATAAGATCAATATTTTTTCACTTAACTGTTGTGAAGAGCCAGATTAATAAACATACACAAGTTTTTCTACAAACCCACAGGCCATTGGCAATATTCATAAGAGCTTGCAATAGTTATTGACTAATAGCCAGATACAAGGAGTACAGTAATTCATATCCTATAATTAGGTGTTCTAAGCTTGCCAGTGCACCATCTCTCCAAAATATAATTCAAAAAGAAATAGTAACAGTTGTTATCTTAATTTCATAAAGATATATTTTTTAAATGTCCTAATTTCAATAATGTATTGCTCATGGCTGGTAATCATGTCATTTAGTGCTTAATTTCTTTTTTATTATTTTTTATTCATAAGTGCTGCCTTACATATTTTCTTTAACTGCTTTGTTGTTGTTATTATTTTGCTGAAGGGAGTTTGAGGTTTAATATTGTCGTACATTTGCTGTAAGTACAGGCCTTCAAGATGTATTTGCAACTAAAGTTGCAATGATCAGTATTATGAGCTAAATTATAATAAGAATCCCCCTAAGGCTGTTACTAATAACCATTATAGCATAATGATGCTATGAACAATATACTGCTTAAAGCTTTGAAAAGTGTTTATAAAAATGTTACAAAGACATCAGTCAACACCTTAACTCCATACAGCCACTCAGTATAGAATGACAAGACAAACCAAATCAGTTAAATAAAAAAATGTGGTTTGTGGTTTTGCCAATTTTAATTGTATGTTTCTCACCCTTTCCATGACTGATTCAGTTTAGATCTGTTATGACTGACCAAAACGCATTTCAATGAAGTCATTAAAATGATCCGTGTATGGCCTAACTGGGCACCTGCCTTCTTTTTTGGAGGGTACACAAACCGATGAATGGTCTCTGTTTTCCATTATTATCGGTTGTATTATTATGTGGCTCATTGTTGGGTTAGATTCAAACTCTGAACCTTTCAGTGACAGTCTGGTAAAGCCACAGCAGTACCCCAGCAGCCAGGATCCTCTTGTTTGTTGGTCTACATGTCAGTGCACTGTATACTGTTAAACGCCTCGCAAAAGAAAATGTGTTTTCATAGGATGGTCATTCTGACTGGTGCAGCTCTGAAATGCAATTTGCATATAAGTGATCAAATCCCACATATTGTCCCCAGGATGATGATAAAGGCAGTTGTATTCAGATGTAAAATGTTATGCATAATGTGATTATAGTCTCAGTGGAGCCTGAATTGGAAATGTGATGCATGACATTAATAGTCAACTCACTAGAACAGTGAATTGAGTTTGGATTGTATATCTCACATACAAGAACCAATGATGATATTGGTTTTGCATTTCTATTGTTTTTCTCTTCAAAGCCTAGTGTTGATGAATAAAGCACCTGAGCTCTGGTGTGCAGGACATGCTGTCTCTCTCTGCATGGCAGCTGCTACACATGCAACTTAATCATGTGGCACTCTTACACTCATGCAGGGAACAAATCCTGCTAACAGCTGCCACCTTTTAGAATTTCCTTTAGAAAACCAGAAAACAGGACTAATAAAGCCATGCTGTCAGCAGGAAGAGCTACTTAGGCTAGCATGTGCATTGGATACCATTGTCATACTGGAAAACATTGGCATTGTCACTATAAGACAGAAAGACCCCATTTAGAATGTTGTGTACAGTTTTGGTTACAACAATGGCAAAAAAATATATTTTTACTCTGGAATATCTCCAGAGAAAAACACCTAGCTACATTCCTGGCCATTAAGAAATGCCCTACACTGACAGATGTTTTAGTCACAAACAGAGCAGGTGGCTTGGGGATCTGATTCAAGTATTCAGAATCTTCAAAGACACTGACAGTGTCAACCTGGTGGACTTCTTCAGAGTCAACAGAGCACGCAAGAAGAAACTACAAAGAAGGACACTGAGGGGTGTAGGAATCTGGAACAAGCTTCACAGCCATGTTTTTGAAGCTGATTAAAAGAATATGCAATTAGAACAGCTTCCATGAGCATCATCAATGATGTTTATTGGGCTTACTGTATCTTTCCATACACAAACTAGTCCATCGTAGTACCATATTGATTGTATAATCCTTAGATATTCTTAAAATATGTTGTGCCTAATTGGGCAATTTAACACTTTGCAGTTACTAGTAATGTATTTTATGCTTTGATTTACCTTTTCATGTTCTAGTGCTGAGTCTGCTGGAGAATCTCCATTTAGATTAACAGCTTGCCAGTTGTAGTAGTGCCACAGATTGCTGTTCCTCCTTAATTGTGTTCTTACTCAGAGAGGACAGAAAGATATTTCCTCATCAGGACATAACTGGAAGTGTTTCTTTCCAGCGGGTGTGTTTGTAGGATACAAAATGGATTAATACTCGTGGGAGCCACAGGGTTAAAGGAATTAATGCTTTTTTGACTTGCACTGTGGTGGGCAGCCCAAATTACCATCTTATCGAGAGGTGGGGCTCCATCTACTGGCTCAGGCTATATTGCATCATGCTTTTTATAGGCTGCTGCAAAGAAGTGAAAAGAGATGAATGGCCAAAACCACAGCAATTTATACAAAGCTATAAATCTTGTTCAGATATATATTGGTTTTAAGAGTGTGCGCTTGAGATTTTAGTTAAGTTTTTTATTATTATTCTCCACCACAAAGCCTCAGAGGAGCTTTACAGTATGCACAAAATAAAAAAGGATCTCAATGCCCAGAGCAGAGAAGCTAAGGTCCTGTGACTGAGACCTTCCTTGTATGATGTTTATATTAATGATGACCAATAGGTAATGAAGCAGTTTATTAAAATTCAATTTCTTATAACATTTAAAACAGCTTTCCTCCAGACATAAGAAAAGGCAAGTTAAAAATCAGTACAGATTGGAAATCTGTCACACTGCACTATATAGAATTGCTACATTTGGTGAACGCTACACTGCTGAAGGTCAACATGGTTGGTTATGTTTTCAATGCATGTCTGTTCTTATTAGGTTTAGAATTTTAGCAAATAATGCAATCTATCGATGCAAAAGGCTAGATTTAATTTTTTGTCTTTGGTTTTCACTTTTCATCCATTACGTGGTCTTAGATAAAATCAAGCTTAATCCTCCTCACAGATGCAGGGAAGTTGGAGTAGCTAACTGGGTGGATGGAGGTTTTATTTTATTTCAGATATGTTCTTAAGAAGAAGATAAATTAATCCTTAAAAGGTTAGCCTATTTTAAAAAAAACTTCTCCTGATCAGTATTTGTAAAGCCCACTTAATGAAAGATACTGCATCAGTTCCTGCCATCAAAACAATGAGGGCTTTAAGCACTTCATCAACCACTACAGCCTGAAACAAACAAACAAAAAAAAACCTTGGTCATGTAATATTTTCACATTGTATTCTGCATTAATTTAATAGAAGATGGAGCTTTGAAGTGCATGTGCAAAACTGGATGCTGTTTTCTGGATATATTTGATGTTATTGTGGCTTTTATGATCTTCTGTTGAAAAAAGCTGTAAGATTATTTTGTGTTAAACATCTGGACTATGCTGTTAAAAACTGAAGTATATCTTAATGGTGTTTTCTCATGTGATTCTTGTTGTGTGCAGGTTGAAATAAGTCCACTGGAAAATGCAATAGAGACAATGCAGCTGACCAATGAAAAGATCAATAACATGGTACAGAGGCATTTGAATGATCCCAACCTTCCCATTAATCCCCTCTCCATGCTGCTTAATGGAATTGTGGATCCAGCAGTAATGGGCGGGTTTGCCAATTATGAAAAGGTAATTGTTATCAGTCAAAATAATGATTTTTAGAAACACTACTTGTTCAAAATCAAATTAAGGTAATGCTTTTTTGTGCATTGCACAGTGAATATAATAGGCCAGTGTTTTAATCCATTGGTATTTCCTGAAAACAGATCTGTCAAATGAAATATCAGGAGTTGCTATTTCAGATTTAAATGTATAGAGTCCTATTTGACTTCTTTTTTAAAGCTGGTGGTCATGTATTATGAAAATATTAAAGACATAATTGTTCATGACTTCATTTTGTTAATCTGCTTTCACTCCCATTTATTTTAGCTTTGTAATGGAGAGAAGACATTAATAACCCTGCGGGAACAGCATAACTGGAAATCCCTCACTGAATTGATTCTTTGAATGCTGATTCTCCTTGTTAAATTTCTGAGCTATTGCATGTTTCATTCTTATCATTATGGCATTTGAGGCAGTTAGAAGTCTCCTGCAGGATAGCAGTCTTAGTTCTTAGTCTTTCCAGCTAGATGTAGCAAGTGCAGTAGGCTGTTTAGCACATCATTCAAAATCTCGAGCATTTTATCCAGAATGGGAACCTTTGCTGTTTGTCTTTGGTATAATAGATTGCCTTATGCAAATTGTAAAAAACACATTTGTTTAACATCTTTTTTACACAAGCGACTTTTGAGATATATATTGCAATGTCACTCAGTCTTTTTTAACAACTTTTGTTTACAGTTGTGCACAGATTTTTCTCAATTTAAATTCGCTGTCAAGGCAACTTCATCGTAACTCATGGCTACAACTCTTCTACCATATGCTTTGTCATTATAAAACAGCAATAACCAGTTGCTCCAGATTGTAAATCAACCCCAAATTGACACAATGCCTCAGCTGAAATCTTCACATCTCATACCAGTGACGAGAGAGACACTGCAGGGGTCCTTCTCCCTTGAAAAATGGTATGATGACACTGAGAGTAATGTTTTTATTTTATCTTCTCCCCTGTCTCTTGCCATCAGGCTTTCTTTACAGAGAAGTACACACAAGAACACCCAGAGGATCAGGACAAGATTGAAAAGCTGAAGGACCTCATCGCCTGGCAGGTAAGGCAGTATTACTGCCCTGTCCAAAGAGTGACTGTCAGTAATAGAGAGAAGGGAGGTGTCATGCAGTATTTGACAGAGAATGAAACCTTGAAAGGTCTCAGTTTGGAAGATGTGTTTATAGAATTTTTCAGCTTCAGAGCAGCAGTTTGACTTTGGTATTTTAAGTGCAAGACCAAAGACCCCTCTGTGTGCATGAGAGGCTTCACTGTCATTTCACTTTTGAAGACTTTGGAAGTTTTCTTTCACTTTTATTTAGTTTGTAGAAGAAACGTTTTCTCTCACGGTCATATCATATTTTATATTCTTATTGTACTATAAAAGGGCATAACGTCTCGCATGTAATAGTGTGTACTTGAGTATTGGAGAGATGTTAGCTTCAGTGTTGTTTTAATTGATACTGACAGCTACACTCTTCTAAGTTTTTTATTAATGAGAAATTGCATAAATATTCCAAAGTTTACTGCTTTATTTTGCCAAACGTGCACTAACAATATGATTTTCTGAAGCTTGAAGTAGGAGTTTGAACTTTGTTGCTTCAAAAGCTTGTAAAAAAGAAAAAAATAGCATTCGTTTTCTTTGTGGCATTTATGGCATACAATATTATAAGTCTTCCACTTAGGTTAAAATAAGACATCAGTCTTAGTTACCTCAATCCCTTATATAATATTTTATTAATATTTCTTTTTTCACTACAAATTGCCTTTAATCTAATGGAATTCCTGTTTTAACCATTTTTGCTGTTTTGTAAACAGCAAAAATGGTTATTCATAGTGTGGCTGAATCACTTTCAAAACTTTTAGCCATTTTGTTTAGTTGCAATTCTGTGTAATATGGTAAAGAACACCTCCAATTTGTAATTTAAATTATTCTGTTATAAAACCAGGAAATGAGAACTGCAGGGGTCCAATCACTAATTAGATCACAGAATTAATGCAGCTTCAGCTTAGTCTGCATTTTAACATTATCGGAATAGGTGGAGTCATAAGGATCTTGAAGATTTAGTCTGCTACCTTAATTGTTTTGGTGAAGAATTTAAGAAAGAGTACAGACTTCTATTAAGGATCACAGGCGTTCATGCTTTTGTGACCAGAACTATCGGTCAATCTTTTTGCCCTTGAACGCCTAAATAGACTGCCACTGTTCTCACAGTACAGCGACTTTGTCCTTCATGCTCAATTCTATTTGCCTCAGTATTTAGTATACTTTATCTTTGATGTTATTTGTTATAGGCATCTCAAAACTACAGGGTTAAGTAATTGAACCAAAACTAATACTCTTTTCAAATTGACTGCCACAGTTTTTCCATCCACTTGATGTAAAATAGAAGGGTTCAAAGGGTGAGGATTAGCATGCTTTCTGTTTCTTCCTCTCATTGGCCTGTAAGGCTCATGAGGTTTTCTATTGAGCTTTATAAACCACTCCCAGCATGTTCAGATGAACATATTCTTTTAATGATTCTGAATTGTACAGCTCCTTTGTGTCTTATCAATATTTAATTGCATTTTTCTTTAACACTAAAATACCACAGCCATTGGGCTGATTACAGTGCTAATCAATTACCACTTGCATGGGGTCACAAGAAGTGATATTTTTATTTAATGATTTTTTTAGTCGTTGTGCTCCATCTGTCTGTTTGGTGTAGTCCTTGATGTCATTATACAGTCTTTATTATGGCCGTGTCTTTCAAGTGTGTAATTTCACTCAGAAGAGGCTATAGAATAGTAATGAGTTTGCCAGAGTTTGGGGTATTTTTGTCGCTGCATCTGAATGCATAGCTTAATTATCACATCCTCTCTCATGGAAAACATGCAAGCTGCAGTATTTGTTCTCATTATGTGTCTGGAGGAAAAAAGGCTCACTCTAGCAGTATTATTTGGGCTGAAACCTCTGTTTAAACTGTACGTTCTGATATAAGTAGTTTTATCACTGTGTTTGCAGTAGGCCTACCACAGAGTGAGAGAGGGAATTCTTGTACAGTGGAATTGATTTTTGACACTGCACTTTGTACACCTGGTAATGATTGTCTCCTGGCGTTAGGCTTGTGCTCCATGGACATCCTTGTATATATTTTATACACTTGTAGATTCTAAAAGTGCTTCGTTGTGTGGTTGTTTTTTGTGTGATTTGCAGATCAGGAGTACCAAGGATGTTCAGATCAGATCATAGTCCACAGCTCTTATAATTTAATGGAGCTGGGAAGAAGAGATTGTCAGACAGCACATGAGCACTGAAAGGTGTGAAAAAAACATACAGCAGGCTATCAGGCTTACTATGTATTCCCATTCTTATTAGCAGTTTTTTCCCAGTGGAAATTCAGTGCTTTTCTTCTTCTTTACCACAGCATTCCTGTTCCTTGCAAGGAACTTTTAACCTTATCCTCTTATCCATGCTCTTTGTGCATAACAATGTGAGACAAGGTCTAATAAATAAGCCTGCTTTCTAGTTATTTAAGGAATGAAAATATTTTTTAAGAATATCTAGTCTGCCACATGTTAAGCACTTCACAGAGTGCATTTGATATTATTGTTTCTGGTACAAACTATCTGAAAACCTATTTTGACCACAAATGTGTCTGTCAGCTTCTTTTGTGGTCGATACAACAGCTTCACATGATAATTTCAATTAGGGTGGCACATTGTTTCTGAAATTGAAGTTTTTAGTCTCACTGTCTACAAGCATCATATAACCTTTAAGCTTTATTTTGAATGTGGTTGTTGAAAGCAGTCGTATCCACTAGCCTTAATACATGTACTGTATGCATTTAAATTTCTAAATACTTAGATAGATAGATACTTTATTGATCCCGTGAGGGAAATTGCAGTGCAACAGCAGCTTAACACACACAACACAGCCACAGTGTAACGAATTATATACTAATAGTACAATACATACAATACAATACAAGAGTTACTCACAGTCCGGACACACAAGAGGAAACTAGAACAGAACAGTACACAGAAAATCGTATCACACGTATGAATATAAATATAGATGTAACCATAGATATAAATATAAATATAAATGTATTGCACAGGTCCCTGGCATATATTGCACAAAAGTGGTTGTAAACGGGAAAAAGAAAAAGAAAGAGAACAGATGTAGCAGTAGATGTGTATATGCGTTTAGTCCAGAAACAGGTCACTGTCGCTGTTGCCTCTGCCAAGACGCAAGGTGGATGCGTTGTACAGTCTTATGGCAGACGGCAAGAATGACCTCCTGTAGCGCTCCCTGTCGCACTACTTACAGACTGACTATTCAGTGCCTGGAAATAGGGGATCAGTGTTAACCAGAGAATATTGTTTTAAAACACAAATCAACTTTCCAGATTGCAGAGAACAGCTTGTGATTTCCAAAAAATGTTTGTCACTGCCCTGCACTGGATTGGTGTCCATCCTGCCTTTCACATGTTGCTTGTCAAGATCCCACATGATCCTGTAATAGATAAAAAGTTAAAAAATGGATGATTGGTAGTTTGTTACTGTAAATTGGTAAGTAAAATGTCATACAAGTATATCTCTGTTTTCAAAAAAGGAAAAAATGACATTTATCCTTTGGTAAGTTTTTTGGTTCATGACACATGTCATATTTATTTTATTCAGAATGTCTGCCTGTTATGAGAGCATTTAAGGGATATCTTTTCTACTCAAAACATTTGAAAAGATAAAGCAAACTTAGCTATTGTTAATTAGCTGTTTGTTCCATGTATTTCTGAAAAACGTACTGCTGATTCATTGTGTGTGCTTTATTCTTTCGTGATTTTAGAAGAAGAAAGACAGTGGGGTTCCTGACAAAATAAACATGCAACTAGATTTTCAAATTAATAGATCAACCTTAGGTTTATGTCATAAAATAGGTGCTTTCAACTGAAAACCTGCATAAGTCATTCCAAGGATAGGGAGTATTTTCAAAACAAAAGCTCTTTTGAGAACAAGGAATCATTTTGAATTGTAATGGAGTCTGAAAATGTTCTCTCATTCAGGGAAACAGACCTTTTGATGCTGCCAACGTAAAGGAGAAATAGTATTGTATATTAAAATTTTATGAACCTTTAATCTTTTACTTTGAAATGTTTTAAAATGCAATCATTCACATTAACCAAAACATTAACTGAAAACCACAACAATAAAAATTGTTAACAGTAACATGTTTTGAATTTACAGCTTAACTCCTGGGTCTAGTGAAGTCTAGTGAACTCTTCAATAGTGTTTTAATTGTAATATTTCTTTCTTTAACCAGAAACTCACAGACTTGTATCACCCCAGCCTCCTAAGAATTACCAGTTGTTTCAATGTTGAGATTTTTTGTTAGTCTGACAAAATTCAACATAAACTGAAAAATTCTAAAATAATGGTTCAACCATGAAGTTTTTTTGGAACAATAGCTGGAAAGGGATTTGCTCTCTTATTAAAGCAGCTGTATCTTTTTTTATCATTCCATCCTTAAAATTTATTTGAGGAGAAAAGGCATCTATATTCTAGTGTTTACTGCTGTGTTTATTGATTGATTGTTTAGTGTGTTGATTGCTAGTTTTATTTGAGGCAGATGAGCAAAATTTGATTGTTCATTCATATAACACTTCATCACCTCTAATCACTGCACTCATGAACTATGTAGCATCCAGTGAATTAGCACATTTGTTGGAGTTTCAGCAATGCTCTAATTCCTGCAATATTTAGAAAATATGAATCCAATATTTTGGCTGAAGCATAGAGCAAAATAGATAAATAGCAAAAGGTGATTAAATTAACTTTCTTTCAGTGGCTCCCAGATGGATACACTAGTAAAGGTGCTACTGTAGCTCAGAGCACAGGCTGAGCCAGGCATTGTTGGTTCAGGCCTGTTGAAGTAGCTGCCTGTGACCAGGATTACCCAGCTGGTGGTGAACAGTTGGCTGAGTACAGCCAGGGCTAGAGGGAATTTAGTTGGCCAAGGTTTCTGCAACTTTCTGAACACTGGCTAATCCAGGGACCTGCGAAGCGCCTGTGAGGTGGCAGTAA